AGGACAGCCTTCCAGTGAACCCATCCCACAGATGAGCACACTGAGGCACACAGGACAGCCTTCCAGTGAACCCATCCCACAGATGAGCACACAGCAGAGTGAGGTTGAGGGATGAGCCCATCACACAGCTCACAATGGGGAGCCAGGAGGGGAACCAGGTCACACTCCTAAGCTGGCAGCCCTGTATGAGGACAGTGGCCACGGACTGAGCAATGGCCAGGCCTCCGGGATTGAAAGGAGCTGACCCCTTCCCTGGACCCCAGAGAACCTACCTGCCTTGGCTTTGAGCTGAGGCTCTACCTGGGGGGTCACCGGCTGAGTCTCGCACCCTCTCTGAGCCTCAGGTTCCCCATTTGTCACATGGGGAAGGCCAACACCCAGGGTAGATGGAGCCCGGGCCAGTGCTGGCAGCACTGGTGGTGTGGGTTTGCCAGGCGTGGGGCGCCTCTGCGTGCACGGGGTGGACCTGTGTGTGCCCTGTGGCCTCCCTGCCACAAATCACCCTCCTTCTGTATGCCAGGGTCACGGAAGCTGAAGACAGTGGCCAAGCCTTGCTTTTTGTGCCCCCCCCTTGATTGTTTCAGGCACCGGGTCTGGTTTGGTTCTTTGTCTACCCAAGTGCCCAGCACAGGGCTTGGCATGTGGTGGTGGCCTCTAAAAGCCAGTGTGTGACTATGAAACTAATCCACTCATAGCACTGCACATGCCTTTTGGGAGGGAGATGGCTCAGAGAGGAAAGGCCATCGCACCCGTTCCCCCAGCAGGATCTAGGAACCATGGGAGCCTGCAGGCCCCTCCAGCCCCTCCACCGTGTGTCCTGGGGGTAGCCCCATCCCGCTGGGCCTCGGTGGCGCCGTGTGCACTGGCTCTGGGGGTGCCAGGCTGCATCTCACCATCGGGCCAGCCCAGAAATAGCTGTGACCTTCCACAGCCAGCTTGGCAGTGCTGGGGGCCGAGAGGCCTACGTGCGCGCCGGCTGAGTCCCCTCACCGTGCGGGGCTGGCTATTTTGGACGTGGCCTCCCGAGGCCAGGTCAGAGCTCTTTCCCGCGGCTCCTCAGGCCCCTCTGACGTGCGTCCACTAGAGCCTTGGCCAGTGGCCCTGGCCAGCTCCATGATCTCAAACCCCCCTCCTGCCCCCCTGACCCCACAGGCCCTGGGTGGCACAGAGGAGGGAATCCCAGGGACTGAGCACAGGGTGACCGCGCCTGCTGGGATGGTGACATGGAGTGTAGGGCTTGGCTGTTTTAAGAAAATGCAAAGAAAGTGCCCACCTTGGGTGGGCCCTGAATCCCGTCTCAGCCTCTCAAGAGCTCTTGCTGACTGCACAGCCTGAGCCTCAGTTTACTCATCCATAAAAGGGGGTGATGGGCGCCTTCCAGGACTGATCTGAGGACAGACGTGGACATTGCCTGTGCTGAGGGCACCGTCCAAGGCCACTACACAGAGGGGTTGTTGGGCTTTCTCTGCTTTCACGGGACTGGACACTGGGTTCAGGGAGGGGCGTTGTGGGGTGTATGGGGGTGGTGCGCTGGGCAGTGGCTGAGGCTGGGCTCTTCCTCTTCTGTGGTACAGCAGAGGTGTACATGACTGCTGCCCTGCCCAGGGCATCTGGGTATGGTGGAAATGGTCCCAAGGTCCAGTCACCCTCTGGGACCACCAGCTTCCTGGACACCCTGCTGACAGGGTCCCACTGTGGAGGAACAGGTCGGCCCAGTTCCCCACTTCCCAAGTGAGCACGGGTGGCTGGGTGGGCATGGGGGATGGGCTCCCCTGCTGGAGGGCAGAACTCCCCTTCCCGTGAAGGTGCTGGGTGGGGTGTGATCCTGCTCCTGGGTTTGGGGACAGGCATGCCAGGAACAGCAGGCAGGGGCTGCCTGCCTGCCTAGTGCTGATTGCATGCTCATGGCCCTCAGGGCCCTGTCCCCTGGATGGTCCAGGGGTCCCAAGGGGGAGCCGTGGCCTCTTCTCCATGGAGACAGCCCGTGGGCCCAAGGCCTGGCTCCATCCAGGCAGGCACATGGAATTCAGTCAAACTCTGGATCCTTTCTGCAGAGCAGGCTTAGCTCGAACCCTCCCACAGCAAGCGCACCCGCTGCCCACCCTGCCCTCTTGGCCTCTGGGACAACTCTGTGGGCACTGCCAGGGGCAGTTCCTGTGTGTTCTCACCTGGTGATGGGTTCATGATTCCCATGTTGTGCGGGTGACTAACAAGGTCTGGGAGCTTGGGAGAGGGGCCCAGGGGCACACAGCATGCAAGGGAGGGTTGTGGAGTTCCCAGGGGGCACTTGGGTGGAGGCTCAGCCAGGCCCAGTGGGCTCAGGGCTGGCCTCATGCCCTTCCCCCACTGCGGACCACTTTGGGGCCTCTGGCTGATGCTGGTGGGTGAGGACCTTCCTGGGCAGCCTCCCCCGGCCAGCAGAAGGGACCATCAGGCCATGCGGACCCTTGGAGAGCTTGGGGGTCAGTTCCTGTCCTGGAGTCAGCTGTGTCTGCTGAGGGTCCACTGGTGTGTGGCACAGGAGGGGTAGGGGTTGTGCCCTGGTGTGCCAGGGAGGCCCTGAGCTCTCCGGGAGGCCAGATCAGGGGCCTCCTCTGGGCCTGCTGGGGGCCTCTGCATTCTTGGCAGGGGCTCAGGGACTGGGGCGGGGAGAGGCTCCCTCTCTGAGGCCATGAGCTCCAAATGAAACTCCATGCCCTCTGGGACACCAAGCCCACTTCTGGGTACTGGCCTTTAGGGGCCTTGGATGTGGGTGGCACAGCACGGGCTAAATGGTGCCCAGGAGGAAGGCAGCAGGACCGTGGGCATGCAGGCCTAATGCCAGGGCCAGGGTGGGCTTCATGCCTGCTTCCTCCCGTCTAGAATCCTGGAGCCGCACAATTTCCGACCCAACACCCTGTACTCCAGTGACTGACTCTCAACAGAAGCTGCTGCCGGCCGGTGTGTTATAACAGAGCTCTGGGGTGGGAGGCTGGGGGCAGGGAGGGTTAGGGCCGACAACACAGCTCCCACCTGCCCAGGGCCAGGTGCGGCCGCGTGTGCACGTGTGTGTGTGAGTGGGGCACCTGAGCTGGGTGTGGCCTGGAAACCTGCATGTTACGGAGGCCATGGTTTTGGAAACACTCAGGAGTCCAGCTGCGTCTGTTCCAAGATGGGTCAGGGTTGCTGCAGGGAGGGCAGTGACTGGTCCACAGCTGGTGTGGCTGTGCCATCTTCCTTCCTGTGCCATGCTCCTTCTGGCCTGGACAGAGGCCTTCCAGGCAGGATGAAAGATGGGGTGTGGACAGGAGGACATGGAGGATTCAGGGCTCATGGTGTCCCTGGAGGCTCTGGTGGGCACCGTAGGGCTGGACTGCTGCAGGGCAATGGGGTCCCCATCTTCCCAGCACAGGCATCTGATCTGGTCATCTGCTTCTGTGGCACGTGTGTGTGTGCGTGTGAGCACACATCTCTGTGTATGCAGGTGTGTGTGCTTGCCAGAGCTCCCCACGGGGCAGTTTCTACACTGGGTTCTCAGGCATCCTGGGAGGTGAGGCATGAGCACTGAACTGGGAGTCCTGTCTGAGCCACTGACTTGGCCTGCCGTTGTGAAGCTGTCCTGTCCAGTCGCTGGACAGTAGGCCACTTGTGTACAATGATCCCTGAGGTTTGTATCCTACCCTGGGGAGATCAAAAGGGGCCGAGTGTCACCCTGGGGTCTGGGGGCCCAGCCTGGTGGGTGACTCCAGGTAGACCTGGCTTCTGGGACTGTAGTGGGGGATGGTGGCTGCGGCAGGGGAGGTTCACTCACCGGCAGGCTGGCAGAGGTGGCTTGGTAGGGAGAGAGAAGGGCAGCCAGACAGAGGGCGCGTGGGAGCAGCAGCCTGGTGGCAGGTGTGAGTCTCCGCACTCTGTCTTGAGGAGCAGGAGAGGTTTGGGTGGGCGGCTGAGGACAGTGCGGGCACAGAGCTTGGGAAGAGCCCTAGGCTGGGGCGTAGTGACTGTTGGGCAGTCCCAGACTGGCACAGGTGGATGGGGTGCCTAGGCAGGGGTGGTGAGTTATGGGGCAGCTGTCTGGGTGGCTGGGGGGAGCAGGGATAAGTGTGGACTTCTTAGTGGCCGTTCTCTGCCCCAGGAGGTAGAGTCCTGGAGGCTGGGCTGGGCTGAGAGACGCCCCCTCATCCTTTCCAGGGTGAGGTGGGAGGGCTCCACCCCCTCCTGATCTCACCAGGCCTGGGGCAGCATCCTGATGGGGGAGGGGCAGGTGACCCTGGCCCTGGACTGCAGGAACAGCCCCTCCTCCCCTAGTGAAGTTCCCACTTCCTGCGGAAGGAACTATGTTAGAACTTGTGTGTGGGTGGTGGGGGGCCTGGGTGGGGAGCACTAAGTCGCCTCCCCTGTCTGCCTGCACTTCCTCCTGGAGGAAATGGGGACAACAGGATGAAGTGAGGGCCTGCTGAGCCCAGGCCTGCCACCTGGGAGGGAAGAGGCCCAGGGGGCTGAGCAGCCGAGGCGGGCTGCAGGGTCCGGGCCCTTCTGTGTGGGCAGGTGGGCGTGCTGGGGATGCAGTGAGGCTCCCTTCAGCGCAGCAAGGAGCAGGCCCTGGGACCCTCTTCCCAGCCTACTGCAGGAAGTGAGGAGACAGGCCGGAGCCACGGGCAGCCCCCAGTCTTTCCCCACCCCAGTTGCAGGGCCTGGGTCTCCGTGCGCCATCCTCCTCCCGCCCCCTCCCGCTGTTACAGGGCCCTAGGGACCGCCCTGTGCCCCGTGGGCCCCAGAGCCCAGGCCAGCGCTGGAGGGGCCCTGCTGCCCTCTGGAAGGACCACGGTACCCGCCTCAGCCCTGGGACCCTGCGGCCCCGGTCCCAATTCGAGGCCCCAGCCGAAGCGTTCCGGGGTCCTTC